GTAACACCCCGGAGCTGTTCAGCACTCGGCGGGGTAACGCGAGAAGGATTTCCACTCTTAACGCAGGTTAAGAGTGCGTGGGTATGGCAGGTGAAGAATAACTCACATTACTTTCGAGTTATTCCCAGCTTTCGAGACTTCCTTTCCCTAAATCACTAGCTGGCCAGGTTTTATTTATTTATTGATTTTTAACCGAGCGTAACTGAGAACAGGGTGAAAATATTTAGGCAGTTTGGCTCGTGCAGCAGCACTGCCCCGCTTTCAGCCCTTCGGTCAGTCAGACGAGACCGTGCCGTGCCCACACCTTAACTCTCTCCTTTTTGCGGCATCGTTCGCAGTGACCATGTCTTTGTACGTAGCCAAGAATTGCTGAAGAGGATGGTTTCTCCCAGCTTCCTCGAGCTGTAACACGCCAGAAGTGTATAATTTTCCAGCCTTCCATCAATCCCATGGTCTTTAATTCTGTGTTGTTCTGTAGGCTTCACTCCAGCAGTACCGCAGTAATGCTGGATCCCCAGCCAACCAGTCTCCCACCTCTCCTGTCTCCAATCAAGGCTTCTCTCCTGGCAGCTCCCCTCAAGTAAGGGACTCTGTGCTTCCACAGGCCTTGCTTCTCGTGTGTGTTTTCAGTTGAGTCTCTCCATTACTGACCCATAGTCGTCTCACTGTAACTGTCTGTGCCTCATGCATTACCGGTGTCTCATCTCGTTCGCAGTTCCATTCAGTTCCAGAGTTTTTCAATAGCTGGTGAATTGCCTTTTTATTGAGCAAAGCTCCTATGTGAACCCTGTTAAAGCTCGGGGGTTTCCCTGGGCGTCCCGCGGATGGAACCTCTGGGTAGGCCCCTCGAAATCAGCACTTTCGGGTAGGAGCTGAGGGGTAAGGTTGGGAGGGCAGGAGAGAGGAAGGGAAACCTAAGTGCCTCCCGCACCGGGGTAGCTCCTGTGGCACTAAATATGCTTTGTGTGACCAAATGCATTTGGACCAGGACCCTTTTTTTCCATGGGAACGTACACTTTGGAAGAAAACACTGGCAAAAATGCTCTTAAAATTAGCAGCTCTATCTTGTGGCTTGCAAGCCGTGGGTTAAGTGAACACGCTTTCCTGCATGCTGGCTGGTTTTCCTTCCCGTGTGCGTGTACACACTCCTGCGTCCGCATGTCCTGGGCTGCGTGCAAACCTCGGAAAGGGCCTTTTGATCTACCAGCAGCCGGACGGTTAAACTCAAGCCACTCTTTGGGAGTGCCTGGAAGTGAGTGCCTCCTCCATCCAGAAGAAGTCTGGTGCTGCTCAGAGAGCTCTGAATGGCTGCTCCTTTTCCGAAATCCCACCTGTAGAAACAAGGTGCAGGAAATTCTTCCAGAGCATCACGACAGAGCCTGAAAATACATTTTCTGTTTCATGGTTTAACGTTTAAGGCTGTAAGGAGGATCGTATCTAAGTAAGTGCTGTCCCTTCGTGGTTCCAAACAGAAGCTGCGTCTCTCCTTGCCATTAGCCAGAGACAGGTCACTGGTAAGCTCAGCAACAGATCTGAGTGTCAGGACTGTCTGGATTTTCTTAACCCTTGCTTAACTGCTTCTTAACTTCTCCCTCTTCTGCCTGCTCCTGCCAGTTCTGCTGCCTTCTGTGTGTGCCTCAAAGAAAACAAACTGACCCCTCTAGGCTGTCACGTAGAGCAAAGCTGTTGCCAGTCTCGCTGCGCATTCTCAGGTCCGGTTCTCTTAAGTTTGAAGTTTGGGTTGATTTTCTTTTCCCCTTGACTTCTCAGTAACTCTTTCCTGGTTTTGTCCACAGACTTGTTGCCACTGTCCAGTCCAAAGTACCGGAGTGCAGCAAGCACTCCCTCAGACCATAATTTTTCCCGTTTTATGCCATAAACTCTTGCTTAGGTTTGGCTGTTTTCAAGTGGGACACCATAACTCGGCGCGAAAAGAAGCAGGTTTATTGAGACTGCTTCCTTCAGCACTGGCCTCTTGCACATACCCACACAATTCTTTAGTTTTGCTAAATGAAAAAAGAGACGGCTTTCCTGCCTCTGTCAATCAACCAAACGCTCACAGCGGCGAGCGATCTGTCTGTGGCAGTGGAACTCTCGAGAAGAGGAGCAATGGGGGAAGAAAAAGCAGCTCAGAATCAAAATCTGGGTTGGTTGTGACGATGGGGGCAGCTCCCAAAGCGCAGGACCCGTTAGACTGTAGAGTAATCTGCCGAGAGTAAAGCAGATCGATTCCAACGGCAGAACGTGCCCGTCGGGGAACAGTCTGGCACTGGCTGACGAGAGCGGAGTGAAGTAGGTGTGACCGGGTGGGCGTCCTCCTCTCCCTCCTGTTTCTCCGATTAATTTTAGGTTCAGTCCTTCTGCAGCGTATCAGCGCGATGAGTGACGAGCGCTAAAAATAGAAATCTGCGCTTCGATTTTGATCGCCTACGGTTCATTCCCCAGGAGTTATTTTCTCCTCTTTCCGCACCTCCGAATCTGTTTGCTCTCGTGTTTGAGACGGGCGTTTGTTACAGGGAGGTCTCCCCTCTTCAAACACGGATTGAAAAGCTCTGCTCGTGGTTCCCAGCTTTGTGTTTGCATGGCTTTTCATTGACAGTGCCTCGTTTGTTACAACTTCGCTTTTCTCCCCTAACACCTGGCAGGCTGTTCCAATTAGATAGAAATCTGCTTCTTTTTTTTTTTAGTAGAATGGCTGTATGCTGGATAATATGGTATGTATTTTTAGATTAATAATTCAAGCCAGGGGTTTTGTGGTTTGGGTTGTGTTTTTTTAGTTGGTTTTTTTTTTTTTTTTTCTTTCCTTGCAGTCACCACATCATTAACCCAAGAAGATGTACTGTTGACAAAACAGACCTCATCTAGTGTTTCTGGAAGAGATGGTGTTAGCAAGATGTTTTTCACAGAATTGTCGATAAATTATTCTAGGACTCTGAACTGTTGAAGTAATGACATTCCCAGTTGATTTCCTTTGGGAGTTTCAGTGCTTACAGATGTAATAACTGCTATACTTGAGAGCTGAGGAATAAATATGGGCTTGTGTGTTTTGGTAGGAGTTATTAACCTAGACTTGCACAAAGAGATTTTGGTCTCTTGTTTATTATTTTTCACGTTGCCCAAACTTTTTAGAGCAAGAACAGCGCTTAGCGGAATGCGAAGATTTTAAGTTTTGCCCTACTTCTGAAAAGCTCCTGTAAAAATGAAAAGTTTAAGGGGAAAAAAAAAAACACCCAACCTTGATCCTTTTTGGAGCTCTCGAGTGACGGTTGTATTTCTAGTGCTGGTCCAGACTGGCTTCACGTCGAGTGTGTGACATCCCAAAGTGCCAGTTTTTCATCAGAAATGGTTATAAACCATCACGCGGTTCTGAAGCTCTGCCGCTGAAGATGAGAACGATTTTCCCATGGTAGAGTTAAGCGTGAGTGGTCCTGATCTGCTCGCTTGAGTTTGCTCTGGCTCTGACTCCACTCATGATATTTTTTGTAGAAGAAAGCGGCAACACGTGTAGCGGGTTAAATAACCTGGAGTTTGAGTAGTTGAGCCAAGTGAGACTGGGCAGCAAGTGTCAGTGGTTTAAAGTGTGTCATGGTTTGGTTTTTTTAAGCAGTGCTTTGCTTTTCTCTCATCAGGTGTAGCGGGGCTCTTGCTTGTTTGATAACGGCCTCGGAGCCTGGTCTCATGTGAGGAATAGAGCAGGACCAGTTGATAAGTTGGAAGACCGGTTCCAATTTTAACCAAGTTCCGTTTTTACCTGCTCCTAAGGAGGTTGTTAAGCCACAAAGATGTTGTTACTGGTCTCTGATCATTGCTGTGACAGATCCTAAGTGCCTGGGAAGGTGAATCAAAACCTTATTTTTGTCTCTAATACCCTATTCTTGGCTCAGGCTCTATTTAACCAGTCTTAAGGATGAGCTGCTTTGTTCAGTCGAGCCGTTTCTTACTGAGAAGTTCCCGTGTGGTGTCCTCCGACAGCGCTTTGGAGGCAAGTGGCTGCTGACTCTGCCGGCGCCGGATTTCACGTTGTGGCACCACGGAGGGCTCGTGTTCCCGGCACTGGGACGTTGCCCGGCGGGTACCGCTGTCCCGCAGCGCCTTTCTCTCTCCTCTGAGCGCGTTCCTGACCCTTCCTGTGCCCTCGCGTGCAGCCGGCGGGAAGCGCTTCGTGGTGGCTCTTGCAGCAGTTTGTGGATCCGATGGGATCCGCTCGGCGAGGACGAGCAGCGCGGGTGGCGCTTTGAGCCACCGTCCTTCCCCGTGGAGTCTCGTTCTCGGGCTGTGAAGAACAAGAGAGTGGAGAATTGTGGCTGGAGGTGGGAAGGTTTTTGCTTGCTTTGAAGAGCCTGGTGTTGCTTCTTTCCTGATACTCCCCTCTCCTGGAGGCTGTGGGCAATTCAGATATTTTTATTATTTTTTTCTACAAGACTTCCATTCTTTCCCCTGCATGCAACCTGCAAGTAAGCTGACGTAGGAGGGAGAAAGCTGAAAATGTGATGTTGGCTGTCATTTTTTTTTATGTTCACCGTTGTGGACATCATCTGGTGGGGTTTTTTGAGTATCTTTAACCTTTGGCTGCGTTCAGTGCTTTCAACTGCAGTGCCTGGTGTAACTGTTCTGATGTTTCCTAGGCTGGCGTTTAATTTCATGTGCTGCTTAGGTTTTGAAGGAGAATATTTGTAGCCTTTCTGTTTTAACATGTAGATAAGCCAGCTGGAAAATGCAGTGTGAGGGTTTTTTCCAAGATTGATACAGTTCTCCGTGCAAATTGGCTTTTGCAGACCCCACCTTTTACAGATGCTCTCTGTCCATAGGTGGGTGGGCTCAGCTGGAGTATCAGACTTCGTGGTGGTTTAAATAAACGATCTCTCTGTGATTTCTTCTTCCTGACAGTTCTTGAGGACGGTGCTGAATAGTGTTAAAACACTGACCTCAAATTCTTGGTCACCTTTAGAATAATTGCTGCGTGACAGAAGAATAAATGACAAATACTTGTCGTGTTGGAGGGGCCAGTACAGTTAGTGAGGTTGAGCATTTCCTCGCCTTTGAAGTGCTTTATTGGGCTTTCCTCATTAACTTTTCTGACCTGCAGCTTGAAGACAAATGACTTCAGAACGTCGGGTTTCGTTTTGGCCCCTTGCTGTCTCGGCAGACAGGAGGGTGCAGGCAGCGAGCCCCCGCCTGCCGCTGGCCGGCAGCTTGGCCTTGCCTTTTGTTTCAACGTGCGCTTTTACTTCCGTGGAGGGTTTGTCTCGTACTCCTCAAGAAAAAAACACCCCAACCCTATTAAAAAAGCCAAAATTGCAGTAATTTTTTTTTTTCTTTCTCGTGTTACCTGGCGCACTCGTCTGTTGTCATAAATCAGAAGTTTCACGTGTTGTGTGTCCTCCGTGAGGCAGTTTGTTCGCTTGCCCGTGTTTTTGTGCCGAGCGCGAGGCAGGGCGCAGCGGCAGGGGGCGCGGGCTGGAGGGGGGCGCGAGGGAGACGCTTGTTTTCCCCGTGCGCTGGCGGGCAGCGGTTGTTAACGATCAAGGGCACTGCTAAGGAACGCGGAGGAGAACCGGTCGGAAGGCTGGAGCCGCTCACACGCCGTGGGTACGTCTGTTTGTGAGATTTTTGCACCATAAAGACTCTGTTTTGTTTTCAGCATTCTTCCATTCTGGGGAGTGTATTTGGTGACTCCTATTATGATCAGCAGATGACAGCTAGGCAGGCTAATGCCCTATCCCATCAGGTGAGCAAATTCATCTCGGATTTTCAGCTATGTTTCGGCCACTTTCAGCTTAAAATAAATATAGATCAACTTCTGATTATTTTATGTGAGATCATACCCTGTCCATATCGTTTTCCTTCTGTTATTTTTCGTTTGAAATACTCAGAGGTTTTCTTCTGTTTTTATGTTCGTTTGGTTTGCTTTTTCCCCCTTTTCCTTCCCGTTCATCCTTCTGAGCCATCGTAGCAGATGTTTTTAAAGGTGTTCTGCCAAGTTTATTGAATTAAAAATAATGAAAATAGATTTAAAAAAGAAACCAAAACAACAAAAAAACCAAAATGAAATAAAACTTTTTTTTGGCTGTAGTTGCATTTGGGAAGGATTCCCTTGTAGGTGGTAGGAGTATGAACTCCTCAATTTGGCCAAGAGCTCGTGCACGGCACCAAACCCAGCGAGCAGACCCTCGCGGCCGTGAGTTTGGCCAACCCAGTGCTTTGATTCGTTCCAGTGAGAAACACGTTCTGGTAGCGGGGAAGAAGGGAGGTGGCTTCGGAGAGGCAGATACCTGAGTTAGTAGCCACGGATCACAGGGGTTCTTTACTTTGTTTTAAAGCTACCTTTTCTTTCGTTCTTACTGTCGCCAACAATTTTCTTTTTTGCATCCACCCTCTCCTCATTCCCCTGCACTCTGAATTTGGCAGTAAACTATTCTGGAAAGTTAAGTGAAAATAGACCACGTTTTGATCAACGAAACCTAAAGATGAATTTGTTTGCCTGTCTCTTTCAACGTCACTTCCCGTACTCGAGCTTTGTAAGTTGTTTTTGCTCTTTGTTTCCTGATGGTTAGAAGTAATTGTTCCTTTGTGCCTTGGTCTTCAGCTTGAACAGTTTAACATGATAGAAAACGCCATTAGTTCCAACAGCCTGTACAGCCCCTGTTCCACCCTAAACTACTCCCAGGCAGCTATGATGGGACTCACCGGCAGTCACGGCAGCTTGCAGGACTCGCAGCAGCTGAATTACTCCAGCCATGGAAACATCCCCAACATCATTCTTACAGGTAAGAAAATCGGACTTAACCAACGGCCAAAACTGTCCCGGCTTCGGCGTTTCCCTTTGTTGTGCAGTTTGAGCCAGGAGAGAGTAGAGTTGCCTTTGAAGGTTTTGTCTCCCCTTGTGTAAGCGTTGATGTTGCCAGTCTCGGCGTGTTTCCCGAGTGCCGGGGAGCTCAGTGGCTCCCGTTGGATCCCAGCAAACAGGTAGAGCTGCAGTGGCAGCACTAATGGACTGAGAGACTTGCGTTTTGCCTCTGAACTGGCCGGATCCTCCACTGCAGCGAGGGGGAAGCTGCGAAAGCCCAAACTTCTTCCTCTGTGGGAGCTTGCCAACAAAGGGTTGTGTAGTGTCACATATGGTAGCGAATCTGGTCACAGTTGGGCGTGTGGAAACAATTTCTGCCCAGGCCACTGAGAAAACCGTAGTTCAGCCAAGGACTCTTGCTGATTAGAATCACGTAAATTGAGGTTATTCTCTCCTAAGGGAGAGAAAAAAGAGACTCGAGTGACGCCACTTTGTGGCCCTCAGCTAGGCAGACGTGAGCTTTGCTTTGTGCGAGGTCGTCACGAGGGGCGTGAGGTGCTCTGACAAGTCTGTAATTCATCCAGCTCCACCACGTTTCTCATTCTCAGTTCAGTAAATTATTCCAGAATTTCTGCAAGCCTGTTTGTGACTCCCCTACCGGGCGAACGTGCATTTGCTAAGTCCTATCCAGACCTTTCTCTTCCTCTCCCCTGCAGTGACAGGAGAATCTCCTCCCAGCTTATCAAAAGAACTGACCAGCTCTTTGGCGGGAGTGGGAGACGTCAGCTTTGACACGGATTCCCAGTTCCCTCTGGATGAACTCAAAATTGACCCTTTAACCTTGGATGGACTGCACATGCTCAACGACCCAGACATGGTCCTCACCGACCCC